GGGTACGCTTTAAGCGGCTCTTGACAAGTCAAATAAGCGTAAAAGCCGCAAGCGGCGATACGTACGGACAGAAGAGACTCTTACTATAGGCGAAGTACAAGAAGTATTAGCTGAACAGGCGGGTAGCAGTCGTGGTGATGGTGAGAGTGCGTCGAAGAGGGTGCGAGGAGAGCGGCGGTGCGGGCGTTGCAAGCAGACTGGACACAACGCTCGTACCTGCGTAGTTAAGATAGATAGTGTAAGTGATAGTAGCGATTCTAACAATTAATTTAGTGTATCGCAATAGTTTATTAACTGTGATAAAAAACTGTGATAACGTGTTGATGTAGATGTAGTGGTGGGGCGTTAGCGACTCGCTTGGGTTAGCGACTCACTTGTGAACCACGTTATTAGATAATTAATTTAGAGTTTGTAGCAGTTCTAAAATACTTCTTTGTAGTTATATCTCTACAGATAAAGACACTACTAACCTAATTTGGTATGGAAAATAACGCTAGTACGTGATAAGAATAGATGTAAACAAGACTACTACGCTAGTCTCAAATAGGAAATTTCTAGAAAGAAAATTAAACAGATTATTTTAAATAAAAAGTTCTAAGCTTACTTTATAGCTTTATACTTTTTACATATATATATATATATCAATATATATGTAAAGTCTGTAGGGGGTTCAGGGGTTTGCGGGAGAAAAAAAGATAAAGAGAGACAAGAGGGAAAAGAATAGGGTATGCAAATAGCTAAAGGGTAAAAAGTCGTACGCATGAAGACAACATTATCTCATCACTCCAACACCAATCAACACCTCGAACTGCCGCCGCCACCGCCGCTAAAAAGAAAATGCTTCTTTACACGCCTGTTTGTTTGTCGATATCTAAATAACTTGAACCGAGATGTTTTTTTCCGCCCCTCGATTAAATAATTTGCGCCAGTCGTTAAGAAGTCATGAACTGATGATATAGAAAAATGTGTGAAAAGAAATTGAAGAAAATGGGAATCGAGAACGCGCAGTTGGTTTTTTTACTGTGCGAACTTGGCCGATCGCCTGTGGGGAGGGTTGCCAGGGTATCCCGCGTGGGCACCGTTGTCCTGGATAGGAGTGTTAGTCGCAGGTTACGGCAAAGATAGCGTACAGATTGCTTGTAGATGCATCTTGTAACACAATGGGAAATTAAGATGTACGTACCTTGGGCTTTTGATCGCATGCAGTGGCGTCGGCATCGCCCTTCTGGGCGGCTGGGGACTCTGCTGCAGCATGAGGCGTCAGGGGCTATGGATATTGTTAGTGAAATGTCGAGGTGCTAGTTAGTGGCGAGAAAGACGTACAGTAGTGGCATTGGCGGTGATGGGCATGATGGCATTGGCAGTACCGGAGAGAGCACCGACTTCGAGGATGTTGGTCTCGCCGAGCTCGTTCTGGACAAAGCGCGAGTTGAACTTGACAATCTTCTTGATGGCGTTGTAGTCGGCAACGCTGATGTCGAGAGGGTCCTTGAGAAGCAGGAAAGTCACGCCCTCGGCACAGGGAGGCGTGGTGAGCGATCCAGTGTACTGGACAATGTCGGAAGTCTCAATGGCAGAGATGACGTCCTTGTAGTCGATTCCGCCCTTGATGGATGTCTTGGTGCCGGGAACGGTGATTTCCGGGAGAGCCGATGAGAGCGAGGCAATGATGGAAGACGACTTTCCAGCGGAAACTTGGAACATCAAGCCGATGACAGCGAGCTTGGTGTTGTCGACAACGCCCTGGTGCACCATGTGCAGCTCGAGAGGGTAGTACTCGCCGTCAATGTGGTGCTCGGACGGAGTGTGCATGTGGAACTGGACGAGGCGGAAGTCCGTGCCTTCGAAGTTTGTGGTGCCATTGGCCAGGACTTCAATCGTGCTACCCAGGTTCTCAAAGATAGACTCGGATACGGCGGGAACAGTCAGCTTGGGCTTGGACTTGGCCAGGGGGATCTTGGAGTCTGGCAAAATAGGTTAGTAGGTCTTCGATTAGGGGAACAGTGGCACGTGATTTGACCTACCAATGTTGATGGGTGACTGGTTGGTGCCGTTCTTGCAAGCCTCGTTCTCAGGAGCAAGAGAAGCCCAGTTGAAAGGGCCATTGAGGGGGCCATAGCCAAACTTGCTGACTTTGACCTCGTCAGCACGCTTGAACATGGACAAGCCGTGAAGGCATGTTGCCGAAGCCGTGGATGCTACAAGAAGAGTTTTGAACAACATGGTGAATGAATGAATGGCGTGGTGGAAGTGACCTGCGGATGTTTGACGTCTGATTTGCAATTTTGGGGAAGGAATTGATGATGTTTAAGTAGAGGTGTGTAAGATCATATCATGCATCCGAGTAACTAGCGCTGACGATCGAAGGATGCACGCGCCCAGCCCAGAGAACCGGCGAAGGAACGTAAGAAACTAGATAGATTACAGGATAACCCTGGCCCAGGATGCAAATAATCGACAGCAGAGCTAGATGAACTGGGCTCCAGCCCATGATTCATGCGAGCTGAGACGGAAAAGGCCTCTTACAAGAGTTATGGATGTGAAGAAAGAGGCGCCTCAGGCTGTACTGGCCATCAGTGACCAAGACAAATGCCCACCCCCCAAATCTTGGGTAAAACCGGAAGAGGTGGGAGCGGATTGGCAGGCTGCAAACTATCAGCCCAGCCACATGTATGACCCAGTCGTCTCGTATCGACCGGCCATGTTCTGTAATGCGCTGATTAGACAGCTCCAGAGGCCAAGCCAGGTCCTAGGCCAAGCCATTCTAGATGTGATGGATAGCGTGCAAGATCAACGGGCCCAAAATCTCCGCGAGAGGAAAGTGCCAAGATTTGGGGATGTGTCTGGATGCATGCCAACGGCCAAGTCTGGCGACAGTTGCTTAGGGGCCTTGTCGTAGGCTGTGCATGGGGGCACTAGGACGGGGTGTTTGTGCACGGGGTGGAGCTCTCGGGCAGGGTTCGTGTTAAGACCCGGGAAGGTGACGTTTGCCACAGTGCTGGTTGACAGGGCGGGCGGGAATCATTGCCCAAGTGACGGTTGTGAAATCATGCTGGGGCGGCCTTGGCGGGAGAGCGATACTCGCAGGTTAGGCGACTTGGAACGACTTGGTCCTCTTTTTTTCGGAAAAAGACGCAACGCAGCGTCTTCCCACACGGTGGCTCAATCACGGCGCACGCCAAAGGCATGCCTTGAGGCGCCTGGCTCCGTCTCATGGAACATTCCACCCATCGTCAAACCCAGTTAGGTCGTGACCCTTCAAACGCCTTGGCAAATGTTCAGGCCCAAACCAGCTATTTGCGCGCAATTAAGCCTCGTAATAGCCGGTCTGACCCAGCGGGAGGCGGCGGAGTTTGCAATGCATAGCGTTCTGCTCGTTGAGCGCCTTGCGGCGAAGGAGCTCCGTCACTTATCGTGTTGGGATTCCCGGCCGGATAGCAGCACTGCACAGCGGTGTGAGATCGCCCGGCCCTGGTGCTTTTCGATCGTCTTCTGTACTTGGATTCGTCCGTCCGGCTGCTATACGCCAGGGTAGTTGCGGAGAAGGTGGGGGCGCAGGATCGTGGAGAAGTAAAAGAGCGGAGCGCTATGCTCTCGGCACGTGGGTAATGAACTGAGGCATGCCGACAAACATGTCATTCCGCAGCGATTTGTCCTCTCCTGCTCTTGCGAGGCGCTTGGCAATGCTGGTGTCTGCTCCTCGCAGATGGCCGCCAAGGCGCGCAGATGATGAATGGATAGTATTGGTATCGTGATAATGTCGGGGAGTCGTGGCCACGCTGTCAGGGGCGGCCGCTACGATGTCAGGACCGAATTCCGGTAAGTTCGGGCGGCACAACGGTGCGGTAGCGCCACGCCACAGGCTGGAAATAGGCTGCAGGCGCCACCCCCAACCTCCATCACCTCCTCCACCACCACCACCACCGCCTCCTCCTGCATGCGCACCATCACTTCGACCGCCCCCCAGCCCTGGAGACGGCGCCCCAGGATACACAGCGTCCCGCCCCCGAGGTGTTGGCCAAGTCAGAGATGCGATCCAGGTCTGACGGCCCACGGCCACGCTCGCTCGATGGGAGATTGCCAGCCCCGCCGCGCATAACATGCCAAAACGGTCCGACGCACTGGAGTCTTCACGATCCCCCAAACACGCCGGGGCCCCCCTGAGTCAGCTGCTAAAAAAGACACGCCTTGATTCGCTGCTGGCCTCGTGCCCAAGCGCTTGTTCGTTGAAATATCCAGACAAAAAAGAAGCGCCGCTTGGCATTGTGCGCAATCTTAACGCGACTACACTACGGCGAGTGCATTGCCAGTCTTGGCCTCGACAGCCCGTCTTGACTTGGATGCTCGTCTACCTGAGGGTATTGCGCCAAGCCCCATTACCAGACGGCAGATACCTGTCCACGCACGCCTTTGAGTATTTTCGGTCTTACGCAGTCACACTGCCACGCACCGCAGCCTGTCCCCCCGGGGCGCCGTCGGGCTTATTGCACGCTCACCTGTCATGGAACATGGAAGGGGGATGCATCTTAGCGGTGGTTAGTAGCACGAGCTTACCCCAATTCTCCCCCCGGGCGTACAAGCAGTACGTATGCCAGCACTGTCACTTCTTACTCTCGTATCCGCATCAGCGCCTAGTGTTCCGTGACCGGCGATCTGGACAGCCCGGCTTTGGTCATCGCAAAAGCCAGATCCGTTGCCCGCACCTCTAGGCCTTGGTGCTTACCAAGTGGCTGGCTTTTGCTTTCCGTCTCTTTGTCCCCGCACCCAATCAACTTCCTACGACTGTGTAGACGGCGAAGTGATTGGTACCTCCCATCAAGGGAATATTACATTGGCTCCAAGTCGGCGATTGTCTCACTAGCCGACTGTCAAGAGACGGGACAGACGAAACAGCGCCTCTTGTCAACCGTATTCCAGGCACCAGATCTCTTTCAGGATAAGTCACCAACTATCGTGTTGCCGGGTGTTGGGCATACTGTCTTCCCCGCCTATTCTTACAGTGTGTCATATATCCCGCCTCGTCAAGCCATCTGCCTCAACAATCGAACCACTTCCAAAACGGCTCAACAAAGCTACACATGTCAACGACCTCAAACCTCCGTTTGAAGACAGACGTGTTATATGTTTAGGATTCAATACCACACCTACTTAACCAAATATCCTTAAAAAACGCACACAACGCCCACATAAGCCACACATCACACGCCAAACACATGCCTAGAATACCAAGCTAGTAAGCGAAACTCAAAAGAAGGAAAAAAAGCATATGGATATACGGAGGTGCCTTTCAAAAGTTCTGTCTGCCAAGAATAATTCAGCCGAAGTACGGCCGCCTTAGTCGAGGCTTGTCTCTTCCCTCTATATACTTATTACCACCTTGTAGCTTAATTATCTTTTAGACATAAATAAGAATCCGCTTAATCTAAGCTTAGATCTTAAGTTAAGAAAGGTCTCTCTAGCAATTCTGCCAGACTCTAACTGCCTTAGCCCTTAACTGTGGAGCTCCTTTCTTCGTAGTCTCTCTCTTTATATAGAACTAGCACGGCTCAATACAGTTACAGTCTAGCGAGTTGCTACACTAGAGTAGTCTCTCAACGTCGTGCAGACTATAGATCACACTCTAATAGTGGTGGGCGTGGGCAGGTGCCTTATCTTCTATCACGACAGTCTAAGGTCTATCTTAGAGGCACTCTTTGGCGAAAGGAATTAGCTTTAGTATTAGAATACAGTTCTAATGTCTCCACTAGTCTATACCACCTCTAGGCTTACGCACCAGCTTGCCTGTATTCTCTGTCCATCTCTATTAAGGTTTTCTGCCAGGCTTGTTGCGCAGCCCTGTCCTCCTCATAGACTCTAACAGCTCCCACTCCTCTCTCTGTAGAGGTTCAAGCTTAGCGTTTAGCTGCTTAATCTTCTAAGCAGCATCCTTTTTCTCTACCTTTGTCTTTGGCTAGTAGATATAGTATAGACCTTTCTTGTTATACGAGAAGCAGCTCTAGAACATGAACTTAGAGTATCCCTTCTACCTCTTACAGATATAGCTCTTAACTACTCTCTTGTCTGCTTTTCTCTAGATCCTATAGCCCCTACGTTAGTGGTTGATCACCATAGACGTCTCGTCTGTCTAGATAACATTCTTCTAGTCCTCTAACGTCTAGTCCTTGTAGTCGATCGCCTATCTAAGACGAGCACTTCTTATCTCCTGTGTTAACCTAGGCTTCCTCGTTAGCTTAGTCTTCTTATATCCCGCTTCTCTTAATACCCTCTAGACAGTAGAGGCAGAGATTTCGACTCCTTAGAGACTAAGCGCACTAGCAAGGTCAGCGCAGCTCTTCTCTCGTCTATATCTATCGCGTCGTACTTGTTAAAATATCTGCTCCTTCACCTCCTCTGTCTGCTTAGCAGGCCTGCTAGAGCGAGGGGCATCTTAAACGTGCTGTAGAAGGATCTTAAGAGGGAGAACGTTTAGCTTAAAGCTAGCAGTGATAGCTCTACTATAGATACGATTAACCGTACGAGGATTAACACTAGTTAGCTCTAAGATCTATAATGTTAACTTGCTAATAGGAGGTGACTTTAACGTTATAATCAAGATATAGGTGTAAGAATTAGTATTAGAAGCTATAGTACTAAGTAGATAGATAACTACAACTAATTAACAGCTTAGCTTAAAGGTGGGAGTTGCGCTAAGAAGAATTGCGCCAAAGGGCTGAGATTAGCGTCAGATAGAACTTTTGAAAGGCACCTCCGTACACACATGTGTATTACACCCAAGACGACAAGCATCTACCCAGCCCCACATTTATCCTCACCCTCGAACCTCCATACGAGCCATGTATGCCTCCCCGCACGAAACCCACACCCATCTGCCGATAACACGTGCACTGTACGAAAAGAGGGAGAGAGAGAGAGCTACGTCCATATCGGCACTAAGCACAGAAACCCCAAGGCCACCCGCCAAGCACCCATATTCGGGCACACATCTGAAATCAACCCCCCCATGCCACTCTTGCAGCCGTCCCTTGCGCGGTGCCTGAAGAAAAGATGCCTCACACGCATGGCCATTGGGGCTGCGCAGTCACAACACACACACAACCCGCCCCCCAGGACCATGTCTTGCCATGACGGATTTGAGTATCACATGGTGCCACCACAATTTTCCCTTTGCACCAAAACACGTCCCTTACATTACGCCCCTTCCCCCTTCCCGCGACCACAGAACGCTGACAGACGGGCATCCACCACTACGCTTCTTACCTGGCTACACACTCCAAGCTGTCAAAAAAAACAAAGAGAGAGAGAGAGAGAACAACTTGACAAATCCAGCGTGTCGCTCACCCACCCACCCACCCACGTTCCCGCGCATCTGGAAGCCTGTCAGATTTTCCTGTCATGTAGGTATATATCTATGTGTATATGTATATGTATGGATGCATGCTCCCTAGTCCTTGCTTCTAAACCACACTTGAATCACCTACTTGTCATGATCGTAATCGCCATTGCAGCTTGGACTTGGACGTGCACTGGGAATGGGGGGGGGGACTTGCGGCTTGCCAACCGTGCCGTCCCTTATACGCGGACGGGGTTGCGGGGTTCGTGCTGAGTGGTTATTTTACCATGTCTATGGATGGATGGATGGATGGGTGTAACACTTCTTTACACCGACCCAGCAGAAAGGATGAAGTTGGGGAAAAAAAATGGGGGTGAGAAGAGAAAGCACACGAATAGGCGTATAGGCTACCGTCGTTGTACAAGGTGTGTGTGTGTGTGTGTTCTGGACCACAATCATCAATGGGGTAACGTCAAAAAAAAAGTCGCGCCACTGGTATGGATGAGATTCCAAATCCGCGGCAGACTTGGCAAGGTGGCTGAAACCTGGGGTGAGCTGGAAACCACGCCACTTTTTGGTCTTTTTTTTTCTTTTCTTTTTTAACCCTTATATACATACAAGCAACATGATTAAGACTTTCCCAAGCCCCTAGCTTGGTATTAAACACGTTCAGGGCAAGGGAAAAAAAGAAAAAGAGATGAAAAAAATAACAACAACAAGGGACCATGACAACAGCGGCTATCGAGACCAGGCTCAAAACCAACTTCACACAGCAGCAACATGCCACTTTTTCTCTTCTTTCTTCTTTGTTAAAAATAGCTGGGCAAGGGCTTGTGAAGATTCATTCACTCGCAGGGTATTCCCATTCGTCGCTATACCTGTACCAAGGCATTCATCTCAGGCCTCTAAAACGGTCGTAACTGGTATCGTCGTCGTGCGCTGCGACATCAACACGTCCCTCCCCCGCAGCGCTGCCGCTCCCCCTTCTCTCGGCACCAACAAGCGGCTGCCGACTACTCATACTATGCAACGCAGCATCCTCGTCAAACGGAGGAGCCAGACTATCGACTTCTGCAAACTCGTCGCCCGGCCGCTGGTAGCCCTTGGCATACGAGGTCCCCTGCTCGAACTCGGCACCATCACCAAAGCGCGTGAGGCTCGATGAGCGCGGTCCCGCCGCAGAATCCGGCCGCCGGCCGTAGGGACCCACGCCCGTCAACGTGGTAAATGTAGAAGGCGTTCCTGGACGAGATACATCATTGGGCCGCCCGTACAACTCGCCGTCACCGCCAAACTCGTCCCGGAACTCTGCGCGCTTTTTGAAGTTTTCGAAATCGAGCTCTGACTCGGATACGACTTCCACATGTGGAATCTCTGGAGTGCCGGTATGTTTTCCGGGCTGACTGGAGTCCAGTTCGGTCATGACAAAGTCACCAAATCGTTCGTAGCCTGGCGTGGCCGGGATGGCCCGGTCGCTCGATCGACGATGCGGCGCGCCGAAGATATCGCGGTCTGCATTTGAGCGGTTTCCATACACTTCTTTGAGGAGGTGTTGAGACTTGGCATGTACCATGGGCGTGAGCAATTTTTTGTAGAGTGCAGGGTGGCCAAATCGGGTAAGCAGCTTGTTGTTCCTTTTTTGCTTTGAGATATCAGAGGCGTGTGCGCCTTCCACATCCGAGTATGGCAGCGTGGCGTAGTACACCAGTTTGTCGTCAAAAGTCCGCTTGCAGTACCACTTGAAGCCGAACAGGAGAAACGGAAGTGGGATCATGGCAAAGAGCAAGTTGCCGGTTCCATACTGGATAGTATCGAGGTTGATTGATCCCACGCCATTGGCCCCAACTACCAAGGCAATAACTGCATTGGCCAGAGCTACCGCAACGAGCGTACGGTTGACGAGAAGACGCCAGAATCTACCGCCGGATTCAGTCTTGGTGATGAAGACATACTGAAGTAGGTACTTTTTAAAGACACAGTCCATGGTGAGGTAGAATGCTGTGACTGGGAAGATGATTGGCTGCAGTGTGCCCATACAAAGGCCAACTGTAGCTACAAAGAGGTAGTTGTTGTAGTAGTCGGCATATGGAAATGGCTGTGGCGCACTGAGCTCAATGAGCTCACGAGGTGTTGGCGAGAAAAATGTGCGCTGGATCCAGCTCCACAGGAACACCCAGGCTTGAGAAAGGTCAATAGCAGCACCAAGATTGCGCTGCATCTGCCAGGTAAGCCGAAACGTAGACACATTACACAGCCCCGACATGATCTTGGAGAAGAGGTGGTTATCCTGGATGGCTTGCCAGACGCCTTTGTCATGGGCAGCGATAACTGCAGCAGCAAAGCGCCAAGCAGATCCGAAGACGGAGAAAACCAGCAGATTGTTGAAGACGAAAAAGGAGTACAGTCGAGCTGTCACATGGCGCTCCCTCGATGTCTTGGAGACATCACCAGAGTGGGTGAACAGACGGCGGAAGACCACGGGGACCCCCATATACATGAGCGTTTGAACAAGTGGCGCCAGAATACCCTGAGCAATCGCCCAGCCCGTCGGATGGGCAGCAAGGTTTGTCTGGAACGCTGGCCAAACCAGTCCGAGATGTGGAAAGTCGGACAGGAAAACCGATGTGAGTATGTTAGGAACGATAAAGGCAATGGTGAACAGCACTATCCATAGCCCATCCCAGAACGCACGTATGGCTCGTTTCCTTCGACTCATGCCAAGATTCTGCCACAAGAGATCATGTGGTTTTGGAGCAAGGTAGACGTCGCAACCGCCAGGGCCTTTCTTTCTGGCAGCATATGCGACTGCGTGGGCGTCCTCGATGTGCTCATACGAAGTAAAACCATAAGGCATGGGATTGCGCATATCCACGGTTTCTCGTACTTCTTTGATCTTGATTTCCAGTCTTGAGATGCGTTCGGTGAGATATTCGATTGCGTCCAGTTTGCCCTTGCCATAGACTGCCACGTCGTCTTTTGCTGCTTTGCAGGTCGGTCGTGTCGCGGGCAGTCTGTTTGGATTGCTCAGGTAGTTGGCCAGGTGTTTCTCGAGTTTGCGAACCGACTCTTCATGGGCTTCAATCAACTTGGGCAGATCCTTGACGTTCCGGCCAATGACTGCTCGGGGAACCGTGTCAATCGGCTTCGCTTGTTCTATCAGAGTAACAAGTCCTGCATCGGTTCGGTAAGATTCGGGGACATGTGTAAGCTTTTGCATGTCAGCCTAATTTCCGTGGTTGTCATATGTACTACCTACTAAAAGCGTCCGGGCGTGCAGACTAGACTTGTATTCGTCGGTGTTGAAGTAAGCCCGTCGAAGCTTCAGAACAGCGATATAGTTTCTCCATAGGAAGAAGCACACGGTGGCCTGGATTACATAGGCAAAAAAGACGTATGCCCAAAACTTCTTCCCGAAGATATACTGCGGCGTAAACTTCATGAGCGTCGCAATATTGTTCCACTGCTTGTAGAACGACGCGCCTCCGGCGACATCGATGGGTAGCAGCAGGACCAAGCCGATGACTGTCAACACGAGGAAAATGTTGCGGACCATGCGGAGGAACCTTAGGAAGACGACGGCATCGAGACCAATCTTGTCCACCAAGTCCTGCTCTTTCACATTTTTGATGGCAGACAGCCAACTTAATGGCTTCTTGTCCAACTGTATCGGCCGGTGCTTCTCGTCTGCATGTTTCGCGCGGGGAGCATAGACTCTTGAGTTTCGCGGTCGGAGGAAGCAGAAGACGATTACCAGCAGGCCGGATACAACAAAGGAGTATACGATGGCGGCGTAGATGGAGTTCTGCTGGACCTGCGGGTGCGGACGTGCGTGAGCATATGCAAGTCTGGTACTGGGGGAGGGGTGGGCTGCCAACCACATGCGGGGGTGGAAACTTACCTCAGCCTGGAAAGGGTCTGAAATCAGATCCAAGAATCTATCTGCACTGCTCTCTCCATTTTGGCGTCTCTGTGCCACCATTCTCGGAGCCTCGTCTTGAGCGAACGAACGTATATAAAGTTGGTGCCCGGAAGTACGCGGCTGCGGAGAATTTGAGCACCGTGTTGGATGTATCGATGAGACGAGGAGGAGAAAAAAATAGAGACTCTGGAGAAGGCGACATGAGAGATGCCCGCTAGAAGCCTCACATACGAGGAACGCGTCACATCCCCCGGGCTTTGCCCTCTTTGTTGGGCGCACATGTGGATGTGCTAATGCTAGAACTGTCTTTCGGCCCACCGCCGCCAAACAACGTCATTGCCGCGACTTAGCGTGGGGCGTGAGACACTCGACAAAGAGCCGCCTCAGGCAAGGCTTTGAGCCGGACCGGCCTCATGTCACTGCTTCTGCATCTTGCTCGCCGCCCTGAAATTGTCGTGTCCTCAAGTCTTTGATCCGTCCAGGCCGTGGGGACCGAAGATTTTGGGCCGCTTGGCTCGGGTCCGGAAGCGGCAACATTTGCATGCCGCAGCGTTGCCAATGGGGCGGCGGGTAGCGACTTGCTATACTAGGACCAGGGCCAGGACCAGCGTGCAAATGTTTCTATATTGGCATTCGGGCGGCTGGTCTAGACACGAGCTGGTGGATCGTTGGATACTACCTTGGCATCCCAATGACATCATATCCTTGCACAGCCCATACGCATTCTTCATTGGCCATGGACGTGCATGTATGTGTGGGAAAGGATGCTTGATTCGACTGTAGACTTGCCATGTCCTAGTACTACTCTATGACTCCCAGAATGCAGTAAAAAAAATCCAAAAATCCAAACAAGAGAGCGACTGCTGATAACAAAGGCCCATGCTGTGCAGTTTTGTGTGAAACCCCCCCTTATCAAAAACTCCATTAATCTTACACATGGCCCTCGCTAGTCGTACCCAGGGTCGCCGCTCGGTGCCGGGGTGGCTACGTCCCAGCCACCCGGTGTAGGCGCCGTGGCAGCCCCATATCGACCAGACGTGTCGCCAGGTGTCGGTGCAGAGTAGTTGCCCGGTGTAGGAGCATCCATCGGTGGACCGCCAGGTGTCGGCGCAGAGTACGCACCATATCCGCCAGGCGTAGGAGCGGCATAGGCACCTGGAGTCGGCGCGTTGTATGCGCCAGGCGTAGGAGCCGACAGACCACCCGACTTTGAGGCCGTGTTTCCTGACGAGCCACCCCAAGCAGGTGTGCGACCTCCTGAGCTGAAGCCGCCGTATGAGGTACGGTTGCCGTCGTTGCCGCCGTACGCCGTTCCTCCGCCATAGGATGTAGAGCCGCCATATGCCGTTGCTCCGCCGTATGCCGTTCGCGAGCCATCACCACCACCGTACGCAGTTCGCGAGCCATCCCCTCCTCCATAGGCTGTGCGTCCGCCGTCTCCGCCCCAGCCTGGTGTGCGTCCGCCAGCACCACCGCTTCCTCCCCAGCCCGGTGTACGGCCACCACTGCCGCCCCACGCAGGTGTGCGACCACCAGCGCCAGAGCTGCCCCAGGCCGGAGTTCGTCCGCCAGCTGCACCGCCGTAGCTCGTCTGGCCACCTGAGTGGCCACCTCGTGACCGGTTGGGGAACTTGCCTCCAATGTCCATGTTGGCGCCGGTAATGGGGTCCTTGACCGTGAGGAGCTCCTTCTTCACCGATACTTGCTTGTTCTTGGTGTGCAGCTCGATGCGGGCTTCGTCGTTCATGGTGTCCTTGACGATTCCTAGCAGACCCTTATAGGCACCCTTGCGGATCATCACCGTCTTGCCAATCAGCCTATCGCGGCCAAACGAAGCTCGAGGCGGTGGCATGGCATTCGCGTTTCCGTTGCCTGCATTGAGCGCAGGGTTGATGCCGCTGAGATCTGGGCCTTGCGCCTGAGCACGACCGCTCTTTGCTGCCATGGTGACGACGTTGTTGCTGCGGACCACGAAGATACCTTGGTTCTCGACCAGCTCGCGGTTCCGCACGAAGAGCGTGCCCCGGTGAATGTATAGAACCTTGCCTTGGCGCCCTTCGCCCCCGTGTTCCTTGACATCGTCCTCGTGTCTGATCTCGGAACCGTCGCGGTCGGTGGCTACGGCGTGCTTGTTTCGACCGACAATCTGTGACACTTGGGTGTGGAGGAGGGTACGGACATCGCCCTGTTGATCAACAATTCGCAAGACTTCGCGATCGACGCGGACAACGCAACCAATTGTGGAAGCACTATACAATGTTAGCTAGATACTTGGTCGAATGCCGGCCGTGACTTACTCAATCTGCACAAAGTCGTAGAGGTCAAAGTTGGAGTCGGCACCAACGTTTGCCGAATCAGCAGCACGCTTCAGGTCCTTGCTAAAGACTGTAATCTCCTGCTGGGTCGAGTCGCAGAGCAAGGTGATCTTATCGTCCTTGATCCTTGTGACAAGACCAACCTCATCGACATATTTGCTTCCGCCAATGACCTTGACGTGGTCACCATCCCGGAACAGCTTGCGCAGTGTCTTGACGGGCGCGTCAATTCTTCTGCCCCTCAGCTCGCCCTCGCTCACTCGGAGTGTGACAATGTCACCTGTCACGGTGACAGTCGTACCGCGGATGCCCTTTTGCTCGCCGGTGTAGATCTCAACGTTGTCGCCTGCAGCAAAGGCAGCTCCAGAGTCGGCGGCCTTTTGGGCAGCCTGGACCGCTAGCAGATCCATAGTCTCTGTGCCATCGGCGTTCTGGATCGCGAAGAATTGCAGTTCCTCCATCCTGGGGTTGACCTTTTCAGTGCTGACCCAGTTGACCTTGACTTCCTTGATCAAAAAGCCATTCTGGTAGTCTTCACCCTTGTATGTGTAGGCTCTCTGGTTGCCAGATCCAGTCATGCTGAGATGCTTCATGTGTCGCTTCTTCGCTTCGGCCTCGTTGAACAGTTTCGCAGGCGGACGCTCGGTTTGCCGTCCAAAGAAGCCTCGCTTGCGCTTGTTGTCCGCAGCAGCATTTGTATCGTCGTTCAGGCCATAGTCCAGACGCGGGACGAGTTGCACGACACAGTCGAGGCCGTTGGTCGACACCTCGACGACCTTTGCAAGATCACCCTTGTAGGTAGGTGGCCGCAGCATTCGTACAAACTTTCCGACTTCGAGCGGCGCACGCTTCTTCTTTCGAAGAAGATCCGGGCGCTCCTTGGGGGGGATGGAGAACTGCCCAGAGCCCATGAAGACGTTTTGGATGCCCTCAATGAGCTCCACCACAGCCTGCCTTGAGTCGGCTTCCACGTAGAGGAAACCAGACTGCGGTCCTGTCGGGCCCCGTTCAAAGGCCGAGTAGACCTGCACGGGCTGATTGGCGCGAATCTTGTCGTCGAGGCGCTTTTGGATCGCCATGATAATTTCGCGCTCCTTTCCAGGCCGACACTTGCAGCCCCAAATAGACGGGTCGTCGACGGTAGGCAGGGCCAGAGGCACAGCACCTGCACCACCACGACGAGCGCTCTGCATTTCTCTCCGCCTGTATTTCTCGTCAAACTCTTTTGCGATTTCCTCGACATCTCTTTGCGCATTGACTTCGCGGCGCATGTCGAGCTCTCGGTGGTGGCGGTCGTCGAGGTCGGCGCCCGTGGGCTCGAGGAGATCGTCGGGGTGGACTTCATCGACACCTTCGTCGTCGCCCTCTTCCTCTTCTTCTTCGTCCTCGTCGACTTCGGCCTCGACATCAATGAACATGTTGCGCTTCGCCTTCTTTCTCCGCTTGGCGGGTCGGGCCTAGAAACGTTAGCAGTTGAAACACGGACAACCTTGCATCGCAGGGACACGTACGACAACATCTTCGTCGTCCTCGTCTTCTTCCTCTTCGTCGTCCTCTTCGTCGTCGTCATCGTCGACATCGATGCCACCGCCTTCTTCGTCCTCGTCGTCGTTGCCCGTCATGGTTGGCGCATCATCATCATCCTCGTCATCGTCGGCGGCAGCCCTGCGCGACGCCTTGTTGCTTGGGGCGATGTCGTCCTCGTCAATTTCAGGTGCGGGATTGAAATCCTCCTCGTCCTCCTCGGGATCGCTTCCGTAGGACGCCATGACTGTGGGAGAATGTGAAGTGATGGATGAGCGCTGGGTTTCGGGGGCTGTCGCAAAGCTGGGCGATGCAGCTGCTGGGATTAGGCAGGCGTTGCAGTGAGACGTGTGGCTGGCCGAGTCGAGGCGTCAGCGCGCAGTGGAAGAAGAGTGAAGAGAAGAAGAAAAGAGACGACGACGAGCGTCGATGGCAACGCTTTGTTTAAACACTTGGGAAACTCGGAGGTTCATCCAGAGAAAGCGCGCCAACTTGGCGCGCCGAAAGGGGGCCGTGCGCTCAGCTCCAGCAGCTCCAACTGCGGTTCTCCATCACCAAACGCGTTGGCTTCCATAGGTCACAGCCCTCACTTCACTCCGGCATATTATGACGGCTCTTACAGCTGGCCTATGCGAGAGCAGCAATATCTACAGTCTTGCTATTTTCCCGCTCTCGCCGATTCTCACCACGGTCCTCCCCCAAGGTTTCCGCGCCTTCACATCCTCCAGCGCCCGACCAACCGCCTCCAATCCATAGTAATTCTCCTTGTAAACTACTGGCCGTATACCGCCAGCGTCAACCAAGCGTGAAAATCCATGCCAGATGTCCTTTGTCATGTGTGGATCTCGGCGGCCGTCCTCGCCAAATCTCTGCACGCTGTCAGCAAGACGGTCAGACCAAAAGACATGGACGAATCGTAAACGACTTACATAACCATGTACAGCTATCGACTTGAGCAGAATGCGGTTCGCACGAATTTTTTCAATGTTTCCGTTTCTTGCTGCGAAACCCACAATCACGAAACGGCCGCGGTACCTCAAACACTTGACCCCACTCTCCACTGCACCAATGCCATCGTAGACGACATCGACGCCCTCTCCGTCCTTTGTCAGTTCTTTGACGCGATCCTCCCACTGGTCATTGTGATAGTCGATAATTTCATCGGCGCCAATGTCTCTCACCACGGCGGCCTTTTCCTCGTCGCCAACCACAGCGATAACCCTTGCACCCACAGCCTTTGCAATCTGTATCGCCATGACCCCTAAGCCCCCACTCGCACCTAGGACTAGAACCGTCTCCCCAGCTTTTAGTTTGGCAACACCGAGTAATGCCCCGTAGCTCACGGCTCCGCTAGCACCAACGGCACACGCTTCCGCGTTTGTCCATTGGTCTGGTACATGGCGGACAGCTTCTTCAGGGACGCAAATCTCTTCAGCGTAAGCGCCCAAGCCGCTCCCGAAGACGCGGGAGCCAGGCTTCAAAGACGAGCCTGGTGGGCTGGACACGACGATGCCTGAGAACTCTGTGCCTAGCACAAAAGGAGGTTGGACATGACGCCGGTTGTTCTGGTGCAGACCTTGGGCATACAGAAGATCGACATGCGTTACTGCAGCATGCGTGACCTTGATGCAGATGTCTCCAGGCCTTTTTGGTTTGACATCAGGGATGGCCGAAGGCTTCAGACTAGCAATGTCCTGCATGAAGGATATTAGACTGGAAGCATGATGCTATTGAGCCGAGAACCAACCGTGACAAATTTGTCAATATATACAGCCTTCATACTCCACGGTTATCCTTGGAGCCACGTCGATTTTCCCAAGGGCCTTACAGCTGATGGACCTTGCATCTAGAAAGCACTATATACAGAATGCCGACGCAAGACCTATGTAGGTTACCGCGGGAGATCGACGCCTGTGGGGTACGCAAGATTGCCGAGGTTGGTTTGCTCGCCCCAATCACGCGCGAACAAAGGATGAGTAAATCCGGATAAGCAGGGTAGGCGTTCGAGATCAGATGGTGCTTCCGCATGCATCATGGGTAGGTAGCACTGGGCATGCGTATGATGTAGCAAGAACTCTGTCCCGCCATACGCATACTTCAACACAGACACTGCACGCCTGCCACCGTTCAACTACACTGCGCCAGCACAGCCTCAGCATGCCATGCGAAAAAAAAACATGTATTTTGAGTTTGCCAAAAATTCCGTGCTGCGTCGAGCGAGGTTTATACTCCTTAGTGTCCTCTATACGTCATTTAAAAGAGAAGAAAAAAGAAACATTAGGTAACGCTGAACTAGCGTTCTCAGGGGGTGAACGGGGTCAGATATTTGATTTTGTAGCCCTTTATTTGCATTCACCTTACCACACTACCCTGGATCATGGGAGGGGGAGGGGGAGGACGGGAACTGGACGAGTGGGGCCCCGGCCGAACTCCTGGATTTGCTGCCCCCCATTGTTCTTTTCACGTCATGTTTGACTTTTGACACGATGACAACGAAAAAAAAGTCATCATCATACTATGTAAGTACTGCCAAAACCTGAACTCTCGTGAAACAGAACAATGTTTTCGACATAAAGCCATCCCCAACCTTGCGAGGGAAAAAAAATCCCCGTTATCACTCGATACCCATCGCACCAACGGAAAGAGGAGGCATTGTGGCGAGCATTTTGATTTTATGGTTGGGACCGACGGGCGCTTGGCTAGGTACACGCGATGACGTTTTACGTATCGGGAAACAGATTGGCGTAAGTATGTGTGTGTACCTGGGGCCTACAGCCGACTAAAACGCCACGGGATTCCAAATTCCCGCCCAAGTGCCATGATCGACATGTAAAAAGGCCCAGTCCAAAACAAACAGAGCGGCTATGCCAGAAGAAAAAAAGTCGCAAAATCATTCCAATTAGTCATTTTTTTTGTGAGCCGTTTGGTTGAGCGTGTTGTTGCAACGATGCCCTCCCCTCCCCCAAATTGGTCTGTCTTCCCGCTTCCCCTTCACATCCCGTGCACTTGCAGATGTCATCGAGGGTCTCGAACACCGTCTCCTTACGACCACATATCGCGGTGCCGGGAGTGCTGATCTCAACTGCAGGGATGCTTGGGATTCCCGGATTTCCAGCGTTGAGTAATCAACAGGCTGACGTCTTTGGCATCAACATGTATGAAGGTAACAGGGGGGCTAGGCCGTACATGTTCAAGTAGACGTAGATGTACGCTGTCGAGCATACCACAAAGTGTCATGACAACAACTCTGCATATGCTCTTCCACAGCCATCAGCCAGCCTCTCGCTCCACGGAGAAACAAGCAACCAATACCAATACCAATGATGGTGATGATAAATTTCGGGCAACCGACCAAGCTTGCCAGTAGCTCGTATGCAGGGCTTCCGTCCATCGTCATTAGTCCAAGAGAAGCACCACCAGCCTTGCTTTGCTAACCCCCTTGCCCCCCTCAATCTCGGATGCCGACCTGCCCGGTACCTGATTTGAATCCAGAAGTTTTGCGTCCGCCATCAGGACGGACTAAGTAGTTAGTTTTCCTTTCCGCAAACGCCAAAACATGGCGCGATTGAAATGCTCCGGCGGCGTATCATTGGCTGTGCGCAATGTTTTTGAAGGGGGGTGGGTGGGAAGTCATGGCTAGAAGGCAACAAGAAAAGGGACTTTTTTTGGATGCTCTCTCTCTCTCTCACACACACACCTCCCCTCAGAATGCAGGGTGCTATGGGCATACCATTCGATCGACGCGGCGGAACTCCCGGAACAAGGCTCCAGTCTCCGTTCATTACCACGACCAGCGTTCAGGGTGGGATGGATGGGGATTGGGGCGCAGCCATACATTTCTCGCAGATGACCAGGAGAAACCAAGAAAACTATGTTTGACATACCATCCAGGGCTTCGAGTACTTGTATCCCGGGATTCCTCCTCCTCCTCCTCCCCCCACCCTTTATTCTTTTTCTCCACTGGGCACACTTCTCTACTCTTGAATGTCTACTCCCCAATACTAGCTCCTTTTCCTTTCCCTCTTCCTCTTCCGCTCCTCCCGCTGGTTCTCCACCCGCAGAAACCATGGTTTCCATCAAGACATTGCTCCTGCTGCCTCTTACGCTCTTCGGCGTTGCGTCTGCCAGAAACTGTTCTACATTTCTCATCGAAACCACGATTACCCCGCGGCAAGGACTTTTCCGCGAAATCCCCATCGAAAGCAATGTGGATGTTGGCGCCTTCGTGTCGCACTTTACCAAGTTCCAGAGCAACTATACTCAAGAGCTGCTCGAGGGATACCAGACGCTGGAATGGACTGTTAATATCTCGGCACAGTACTGTCAGCCGCATGGTAAACACAGCGATACGATCCAGCTGTTGAGTCATGGCGTTGGGTTTGACAAGACGTAAGTTCTTTTTTTTTCTGTTTTGGGCACTGCACTTCATTATTTTGGGGTTGATGATCAGTCGAAAATATTACGCGCAATTCTCAAATGGACACGTACTAACTTGCATTAGTTACTGGGACTTGGATTATGAGGACCACAGCTACAGCTACGTCAACACTGCTCTAGACGCTGGCTACAGTACCCTTGCCATTGACCGTCTTGGCGTTGGAAACTCGACTCACGGGGATCCATTGAACGAGTAAGCAGCATCAGACTGTAAAAGAAATACCTATCATGTGTATGTTGACTTGATTCCCATAGAGTCCAAGCACACGCCGAAGTCGAAGCGCTCAACGAAATCACGCTCATGCTGCGCAATGGCGACATTTGCCAGATCGGGCGCCCTTACGACAAGGTTATTCACGTCGGCCATTCCTTCGGCTCCATCCAGTCGTACTGGCTCTCGGCCAGGTACCCTGAAAACACGGATGGCGTTATCCTGACTGGCTTCTCGGCAGCATCTCAGTTCCTGGCGTACATCATTGCCGGCATGAACATGCACAGCGCTCGTCTGAACCAGCCTCTGCGTTTCGGCGATGCCTCCGCCGACAACATCCGCTGGGTGATTCATTACCACGGCGGCTACAAAAAGGTCATGTGGCTCCTCAATGAGTTCCTCATGCAATCCGGCATCGACACGAAACCATCTGACGAATGGAGCGAAATCTTGACGACTGAGATTATGGATCTTGTCAACGAATACGTGGATTTTGACAGCGACGACTGGAAGCCCGTTTACTCGTATCACTATCCTCCAGGATACATGACCACCTCCTGCTTTACTGCGTTTCAGTACGGCTTCCTGCAGCCAGGGAACTACGACGTCCAGCTCGGTCTCCATGCTGAAAGGACAAAACAACCAGTGACGACGGGCGAGCTCTTGACGCTGGCCAGTGCACCCAAGTCATCGTCCTTCACCGGCCCCGTGCTTGTTATCAACGGAGAGAACGACGTACCGTTTTGCGGAGGCAACTGCTACGGCCAGATCGAGGGCGCAAACTTCAGCAATATTCCTGAAGCCGTGGGCATGGCATTCCCGTCTGCTTCTGCGTTCTTCTCGTATATCCAACCAAACACCGGTCATGGCCTCAACCTCCACTACAACGCGACGGCGGGATACCAAGTCATGCAGGACTTCTTGGCAGCAAATGGCCTGTCTGCTTAAAGTTTTACGCGCCAATTTCATTCCATCCTTTTCTTCCTTTCCCCCTCTTTCTTGACCTTGGCTGAGAGCAGCGCCCTGACGCGCACTCCTGCAAGAGCAGCGGCGTGAAGCCTGGATGATTCTTTCTTTTGTTTTTATTTTCCAGTACAGGAACGGCTAATACCTGTAATATTGTCAGTGTGTGTATGTGTGCCAATGCTTACTCATTGCTACGGCGATTATGCTCCGGCCAACAACTTTGTTTCCGCGGCACTGACTCACACTCTTCATCTCCCATGTATTAGTAGCATATTATCAAACACCGTCTTAAACACTGTCCAATTTGCCAATTGACCGACATGCAAGAAGTTGCTTTTGCGCGATTCTATCAATGACCATAAAGGCTCAAGTGCGGTGACGCTTTGGCGACCACGTACGACGTTTACCCAGTGTCTGCTGGAACCGCATCCCCGTTGCTAAGGCCTGACTAACATTAACCCAAGCAACGCTGTCCGGGGCGCGCTGTGGGCCAAACCCGTCCGGGACAAGCCGCAGGCGTGGCGGTTAGGTTTCCGCGATGAATAAGACGGGAGATGCTGACTATGCATGAGCAAAGCGGAGGTTGCTTTGCGCTAGTGCTGCAGGGACGAGAAATTCGCAAGCGGGGAGATCGCGTTCTGCTACGGCAATTTCGCGAAGCAGTCGCACCGCAGCGACCTTGGCCATCGATCGCTGATTACCAAAGAGTTACTCACGGTGAGCTAAGGCGAGCGAGTGTACTGTGCAAGTCGGCCTTACAGTGCCTTTGCGACCGACATTAACTCCGCGCTGGGGAAAGTGTAGAGGCAAAAGAGGAATCGCCGCCGTCGTGAGCCAATAGCATGGCGGTTGCAGAGGTGCTGCTATGGCCAGGGGGTTTGTCATGGCTTGGATATCGCGAAAGCTTCATGGTTCTCGTCCGCTAGCTCAAGGCATGCACGATGCAGGCTCGACTGCAACTCCACATGGGCATGCTTGGGGATACCGCTGTACAGACGTCATGCAAGGTGGGTCAATCGTTGGCTCCGAGGATTGCAATGGGGTATGCCATGCAGTCGGTGGAGCATTGTGCAGATGCTAGAGGCTGCGACTGACCGAAGACCAAGGTACTGGAAAAGTATAAAGATGGCTTTGTGCTGCTGTCGAGTAATCATCATCCCATCACCGAGAACCTCGAAGCCCAAGACAGCCTGAAGAGCAACTTGACTTGCCATACTTTCTGCCTCAAGATGAAGTTTTTCGCAAACTTGGCCCTCGCGGCCCTCACGCTCTTCCCAGCTGTTCGCGGTGACGGTACGAGTCCTCAGGAGTGCAATGGAATAAATCCACTAACAAGTCCCAGCTGTTCCGTGGGAGCGCATCGACAAGAACAACTCTGTGAGTAGCCATCTGCCCCAGTTGCTGGATGTCTGACTAATACCCCTGACAGCTGCTTCTCATTCTTGACTTGCAGGTTGGTCTCTACCATGTCGCTCGCGACTGGGACCCTTCCCTGTACAAGCAGAATATCATGGCCCATGCCGAGATTGGCAAGCTCTTCAACCTGCCCGTCATCATGAGCACTTCGGCAGACCAGGGCCCCAACGGCCCCCTGCCAAAGGAGATGCTCGAGATGTATCCTGATGCGCCACTTATCCGCCGCCAGGGTGAAGTCAAGTAAGTTCCAGACTCTTTGGCATGAATTTTGAAGAAAAAGAACAAGGGAAAGGCGACGAAAGGAAAAGGAAAAAGAGACCAAAGGAAAAAAGGAAACAATCATCTAACATGTCGCAGCGCCTGGGACAACCCTGAATTCCAAGCCGCCATCAAGGCAACGGGCAAGAAGCAAATCATTGTCGCGGGTATCACAACCGACGTGTGTACTGCCTTCCTCGCACTCTCTCTGCGCGCCGAAGGCTACTCTGTCTTTGCCAACGTCGAGGGCTCGGGTACCTACACGGAGCTTGTGCGCGACACGGCCAACTCGCGCATGCAGCAGGCGGGTGTGCAGCTCGTGTCGCTATTTGCCATTGTCTGCGACCTCATGCGCGACTGGCGCAACACCCCCGGTGCGAAGGAGGTGCTGCCCTTCCTCGACAAGTACCTCCCTGTGTACGGCATGCTTGCGCGCCACCACGCTGCGGCTGCGGACAATGGCACGATTATCCCTGGCGAGATTGGCCTGATTACCGGTAACAACGGCTCTATCGTTATCTAAGTATAAGCCTTGTGCGCGGTTAGAATGATGGGAAGACAGGAGGCCGGAAGGATAGCAAGGTGAAACCAAGGAGCGGGGGTAGGTGGTTTTGCAGTGGTGTGTAGACGGCCGCGAGGGCGGCAATCGATAAAGAGGTGGAAATTACAACAGGAGGATGAGGGGGATCGTTTCAAGTAGACATGTGTGAAAACTCGATCCTTCTCTTTTGCCCAATTCTCCATCATCTTGACATGTGATGGTAAAGTTTGCATCGATCAAACAGGTGTTGCAAGTGTTTGACCCGGTACTGCCATTTTTGGGTGCGGATGTGGTAGTTTGGAGTCTAGCTCGATGTGTGATCATCCATTGCCAATGTGTTTTGAAACGGCCATGTCCACTTGGCTGTATTGACAACTCGCATTTGCTGCGCGCGACACGGAAATGCTGCTTTGTGAATGGACTGAGATTACAGGATGAATAGGATGGTCGGTATATATGGGCAGGGCCGTGTTGGTTGTCGGGCCGGTCAAGCCTTCCGCTTATCAGAAACCTTCCGGAAGTGTCGTCTTTGGTGGCTATGACTATGATTGTTCCAAGGCAAGCGTTATGCGACGCGGGCCAACTCTGAAGGTGTGGAGACGCCCTGCCAACTGTACTGTAGCTATCACATCGGACAAATTGTGCCCATGAGTAGTTGGTGCGCGGAGAAAGTTTGCGAGTGAAATGCCAAGGGGGTTATTGACCGGAGTGCACGATAAGCGAGGCCGAGGCCACATCTTGGTCTTGGGTGAAGGGCGATTGGTGGGGGCCGACATGTTGTAGATAACGGAGCGGACGAGTCGGTGCGACGAGCGGGATCACGCGCAGAGTGACATCTGGAGAGTTTAGCCGTAGTGCCGCCACTTATTGTTTTTTTCTCTCCCAACGGCCGAAGCCAAGGAAGAATGTAAGCCGGGGGAAAATGCAGTTGAAAGGATTGAGAGGAGTGAGAGGGAGGGAAAGAACACGAGCGCTGGCAGTTCAGCTGCCAAGCCAACGCCCCGGAGCCGCTGGTGCGAAGGACGGGCAGCATGGCGCGTAGCCGCATTGGGCTTAGCGGTTCAACGGTTCCCAGCCAATCAGAGCCCTCTCGCCGTCGCGTTGCAAAACGGCGGGACCGTCAAGTTCTCTCGTTCCCAACTTTTCTTGCACTGACAAGAGCACCAAGCGCTGGGCACACGAAGCCACCGAGCTTGGCTTCAATCAGTATAATGGCCCCGAGTACGCCAGCACACGGATTCCACGAACGAGGTGGCACCACTTTTGACGGCACGCCGAGCTGAAACCGTAAATGGTTCACGCCCCGTCCTTGTCACCACCAAGCTTTTCCATGGCATATCTTAGCATGCCGACGCAGATCTGTTTCGGCACAGGACGAAGCCGTGTGTTTCGCGACGAGCACAAAATCCAGCATGCGGTTGCGGGGCGAGGTATGACGAAGAGCGTTTGGCATGCCGTCTCTGCACATACCCCGGACGACCAAATGCGGTGCGCGAAAAAAAGTACCACCTCGTCTTATACGCAGCAACAAGGCGTTAGACTGCGCGCACGCCATCACGCCATCGATAGATATCCCTCTGCACAACGTGCGGCCGCTCGCAGTTCTGACAGGGCCCGTCGTATGTACCTACGGGCTGCTGGGGGCGGGGGTCTGAACAGCCCTGGTCTATACGCGCTACCAAACTCGACGGAAGCAGGGGCCTGAGCTCAGCCGCCATAGGCGAATGGCGGAGAGAGACATCACGTCCAGGCGGCGCAGTGTATCAGCTACGGCCACACCAGAACACGGCGCCGTTTCGAACAAGCATGGGGCCGTACGCGCGAAAGCGGAGCAGAAAGAGGTCTAGCTGTCGGGCGGATCCTTGCTGCGCTATTTAATTGCTGGGGGGGGAGCTCTGGTGACATGCTTGGCCTTTATAAGGTTCATGGCAAGCTATACTGAGATACGGCATCGTGGGAGCCTTTGGGCACAGAATTGGGGTTGGAGTGGCTTCCTGGCACTGCTGTCTAGACGGTCGTTTAGAGGCGCAGCCAGCCCAAGCGGGCAGCCCCGCAGCATCTAGCCGTCCATGGCCCATCTTGTGTAATTTATCGATTTGCTTGGCTCCATCAGCCTCACAAACATACGTGTTTTCCGCTGGCGTCTCCCTCTCCCTCTCTTGCTCATGTCGATAGTGTCTGGCAGGCGGGCGGGTGGGCGGGCTGTCTGTCCGCTCTGTTGCTACAGCTCCATGTCCAGGGGGTTCCCACAATGCCCATGACGGATTACGAAACGTTGCCCACGCACAGAGAGGTCCGCCGATGTCCTTTTTCGACCTAGCAGCCCTAGCGATTTCTTTTCCCTTTCCAGATTGATCCTTTTCGCCTAACCCAAGGCCAGACTGCCTATGCTCAGGGCACAACCCACACGAGCGGGAGCGCTGCATATATCCCTGGCTGTCGCCCTGTCCCCGTCTCGACTTCTTTCTTTTTTCCAGTTCCGTCTGGTTGTGACTACCTACTAATTCTACCCTTTCCCCAATCGCGTTGGAGTAATCGCAATCCACTCTCCTCGGCCTTATCCATCCTCACTACCCTCTTGGCCTGAATGCAATAGTCTCTTGGTGGACAACAATCCACGCGGGGTTTCCGGGTACATCCGCGACAGCGCAGAGACGCGCCCCTCAATTTGACTTATTGACGTGGTGCATGCACGCCCACTAAAATTCAGAACGCATATCTGGTACGTCGAGTCTGGCGTATGTTACAGAAAACACCGTTTTGAAACTGACGTATGCGGCGTACAGTGGAGCACCCTTTTCATACATCTTAAACCTTCCACCAGGCCAACATGGCCAATTACCCACCAACATGCTTTCCAACACCCTCGCAGCAAGCCTGCTGCTTCTCACACCCAGCGCCCTCGCCGCGCCAACAAGAACTCACTGCAGCTGCAAAATCGTGTACAATGACACGACTTCGACATCACCACCACCCTCACTCTACACACCCTCTACCGCCCATTGGACCCCCGGCAACCCCTCTGAAGACGAAAGCAAATCACCATTACCCGCCCCCATCGCCGTCAGCGTCGCCGTATGCGCAAGTCTAGGCTCCGAACTCGAGCGCTTCCGTCATACCGAACCCGAACTCTACGATCTGTACATGGGCGAAGAGCAACGGAGAAAACAAGAAGAAACTAGTACTACAGAACGACGCCCACTTCCCACAGCCGTCCTCCTACGCGGCGACCAAGACATAATCAACCCCGGCCATAACAGCCACAAGCACCATGACGACCATACATCACGGCCTTCAAAACCCCAAGGCAGAATCGTATGTTTTGCATCACCAGGAACCCTGCCCCCGCACGATTACCAGACGTCATCCATGGGTCTCTGCGCACTGCAACTAATTGTCGTGCTATCAATCTTTGCCTGTATTGTAGAAGGCCTCCAACTATGTCGAAATTTGTAAGTCATCTCCCTTTCCTCATTTGAAATCTTCAAAAAACTAACACTTCGTTCAGCATAAAACAACAATTCTTCTCCTCTTCCGCACCAGAAAACGACCCACTTCCCCCCTCCGGCAGCCTTCGTCTCAACGGCGCCGAAAAACGGCTCCTCGCCATCCCCGAAACACACCCTACAGACCCCAGATACCCGCTATGCAGCAGTCCCGGCGCAGAAAAAAAGATGCGCGCATATGAAAACTCATCGCACCTGTCCATCTCACCAACAAAGTACTTTGTGCACCATGGCGTTGGCGGCCGCAGAGAATTCATCGCCTATGACGATGACAGCGATGATGAGGTGAATCGGCCGGTTATGTAAGAAACAATCAAAGTAAAAGGATAAACATCACGCAAGAAAAAAATGATAAAGAAAGAAAAATGATATTGAAGAGAGACATTGAGTGACACACCACTTGTATTTCTTATGTGTAAATAAGGGAACATTTATTCCGGGTTTTTTTTTTGGATACCACAGCTAAGGATTCCACTATAAGAGATCCATACGCAAATTCAATTGAAAAGAGAGAAGAAAGTGAGATTTACTTTCGAACTCTATACCCACACAAATTTTTGTTTTAGATTCTTGAGCTTTGGAAAGAAAGATATATGCGTGCAAATGGAGGTGTTTTCTGCAACAAAAGAGATGCACTGCTATGTCATGTGTGACACTCGTATTTCCAGCTTGATAGAGTATCGAGGATCATGTATTATGTCTGGTGCGGAGGTGAAGATAGACATGGTAAAGTATAGGTTTTGTGGATGGATTGGTAATGTGTTGTTGTTACACGCTCACACTTACTCTTACTCACGTATGTACACATACACATGCTAGCTATCTCTCTCTCTCTCTCTAGTTCCAACCCTCTTCCCCCGTTTCCCCATTTCCATTTCAATCTCCCACATCCACATCCATGCGCATCTGCATCCGCATTCTCATCCCCCTCCCCCCTTTCCCAGCCCCCTATCTCACATCTCCATCTGTACACACCACCCCTGGCCAGCGCATCGAGAATCGAAAAACGAAACCGAAAACAAAAGTAAGAAACCACACTATGCAACGCAAGAAAACACAGCACCCCTGATAGAATTGGAATGAAAAATTGCAAACAGTGTAGAAAGTTGTAGAAAAAAAAGGGGGGGTGGGAGATACAGGAAAAGCGGAAGAGGGGAAGCCGGGGAAGCGGGTGTAGTGTACCTATAAGGCATGACGCATACAAGAGAAGACGAAACGGGGGGAAAAAAAAACAAGACGCATCAAATAACGCAGTATAGCAGTAAAAGTAAAAGGGGGAAAAGAAGAAGAAGGAAAAGGAAAAGGAAAAGTAGACGCCCACGCCCACGACCCCACCGTTAGCACCGTTACGCGCCGTTGGAAAACCCGTCAAGTACAGTGCTTTGAAAAGGAAATCAAAGAAAAAAACATAAAGTGTCTGATAACTTTAAAAACAAAAGTGAGCAACGAGGCGTACATGGAAGATATATAAGCAGAAAGACGGCAGACGGCAGAAGCAGACGGCCGAAATTGGGGAAATATATATATAGAAAGATGAATATAATAACATGGAAAATAAGAGATAAAAAAGAGAAAGAAGAAAGAAGAAAGAAGAGCTTTATATTAAGAAAAGAGAAGGAAAAAAAAAAGGCAGGGCTCTCCGACCCAGCTAACTAAGTAAGTAAGTAACCTACTACTTACATGTCTTTTCCACGTTTAACAACTACAGTAGTCATTTTTTTTTCTTTTTTTCACACTTGATGCTTCCACACACACACACAATGGCACATGGCACTTGGACTGCAAATACAACACAACACAACACAACACAACACAACACAAAAGCTCTAGAATTCTTTTACTCTCCCCCCCCTTCTCTCTCTCCCCTCCATCTCTCGCTTTCCATTTTCCCTCTCTCCCTCTCTCCCTCTCCCTCGCTTTCCATTTCCCCCCCCCCTTCCCCTCCTCCTTTTCCACTCCACACCATAACTAATCAGCAAGCCCATCGAACCACGCAGTTGTGTATCCACCAAAAAGAAAAAGAAAAAAAGAAAAGAAAAGGGTCGGTGGGTGAAGGAGGGCATCATCAAAGCATCAAGACATCAAGACATCAAAGCATCAAGACATCAAAGCATCAAGACATCAAAGCATCAAGACATCAAAGCATCAAGACATCAAGACATCAAAGCACCAAGGCAGATCAATTCAGATCACACATAAACCACAACAACAACAACATTGTCGCATTGGACCTTTTCCGATTGAAGTGTTTCTTTTTTTAATAATACTAGTTTTTGTTATGTTTTGGCGCTCTCGCTTAGATGTTCGTGTTGTGGAGCAAAGATATTATTTTAGGAAGGAGGGGATGGATGCAACAAGGGACGGATGCAAGGGATGCGAGGGATGGAGTGAGCGTGGAAGGGGGGGGGGATGGACGAAAGGAACGAGGGAACGCAGGATGGAAGGGGTGGGATGGAAAGGGGGGGGGGCATAACCTGACAATAGAGACTTACCTTACTGTACCTTACCTTACCTATGCGGGATTTGACAAGAAAGCCAGAAGATGCGTCAAATGGATAAGGAGGTAAATAACAACAGCAAGAAGAAGAAGAAGAAGAAGAAGAAGAAGAAGCGGGGGGGGGGGGAGGAGAGGCTAAAAAGACAACGACGAGGAACAAAAAAGGAACAAAAAGAAATCTACCTTAACGTGGTTCACAAGTGAGTCGCTAACCCAAGCGAGTCGCTAACGCCCCACCACTACATCTACATCAACACGTTATCACAGTTTTTTATCACAGTCAATAAACTATTGCGATACACCAAATTAATTGTCAGAATCGCTACTATCACTTGCACTATCTATCTCAACTACGCAGGTACGAGCGTTGTGTCCAGTCTGCTTGCAACGCCCGCACCGCCGCTCTCCTCGCACCCTCTTCGACGCACTCTCACCATCACCACGACTGCTACCCGCCTGTTCAGCTAATACTTCTTGTACTTCGCCTACAGTAAGAGTCTCTTCTGTCCGTACGTATCGCCGCTTGCGGCTTTTACGCTTATTTGACTCGTCAAGAGCCGCTCGAAGCGTACCCATTTCCTCCATCATAAGCGTCATTTTATGTGCCATTTGCTGGGCCCCCTTACTCAGCTGCGCGATCTGCTCAGTGAGTGAATTGGC